TGCTCGCCCTGCGGTTCCTGGAATCCTGCCATTTTGTGCTGAGGCCGAACCAGTCAACCTTCAAAAGTGCCTTGTGCAGCAGAAGTTCTTTGCTGCTGCTTGCAGCATCTGGAATCTGAAGCCCGAACGCCTGACCTGACATGCGCTTGGACCCGAGTCCTTCACTAGGGCTATCAGATGCTGCCAGCAAGGACTTCACCCAACACATGTAGAGTTTCCCAATACTTTCACGAGCAGACCGTGACAAGGTACGTCCGCAGGCTACTCATCACGATAACCCTGGGGACGGACATGGTCCGGGTCTTGCTGCTTTCACGCTTTCTGGCACTTGCACGAGCATGTTCTTTGAATCTTCAGGCGAAGCATCGTCAGCATCAGAACGACAGTCTCAAGCTGGCGGAAGAGGCGTGCAGTGGCTTGAGGTAGTTTCCAGTGGAACGAGGCTTCGTGAACCCTGATGTGTCTCACCGTTTGAGGAGACAGGCTCAGCTGAGCTCCCACATGGGCAGGCGGCGCTGGAGAGGTGCCATTGGCTGTGTGTGGCCGCAGACGTGTCTTCATCCCTCAGGCTAGGTGACATAGCATCTGCTGCACCTGACAGGACAGAGCTGCTGTTGCAGAACCTCGTGCACGCTGCTGACACATGGATGAACTCTGAAAGCAGACGATGGCGAATGCGCAAGACCCTGTATCTGAGGACATATCGAATCCTACCAAGCCGAGGAAGATAATGCTAGGTGCCACCGGCGTTTTGTTAAAAAGGTCTGCTGCGTCAAAAACAGGAAACGAAAAGGAGACAGGGCGGGGCCAGGTGTGTGGCCTCTGCCGCAGTAAATCCCGACAAGCCTTCTCAATCTGTCAACTGCCCACTTGAAGCATCCATGCCCTCCCTGCCAGAATGGACAAAGAGGGTGACGCAGGAGTTCTGGGCGCAGGCATCCTCTGCTCTGCATGATGAGCCGGATGAATATACGGAGGGACGCATCAGCAGTTGCCTTTTGTTTCCCATCGTTCACTCTGGCAGGGAGACGAAGAGCAGCGGCTAGGACTGTTCGGACCTGAATGCTGCTGCAATGTTAGTGCTGAGTTCGCTGTCTAGCTTTTGACACTGCAACAGACCTCTCCTTGAACTCAAGTGACTTTGGAATGGAAGTGTGAGTCTTGGAGAGCGTGTGCAAGGAAAGTGAATAATTTGAATCTCAATGCAGCATTATTTCGTCGCCGACTGACCGTTTCAAAGACGCTGGCTTAATCTGCTTTCGCTACTGACCTGCTTTCATGATGCTTCCGTGAAAACTGAACTTGACCGGGGCAGACCGCAAGTGCTGTGGTGCGTTTCGGCGTAGGTTCTTGGTCTTTCATATCTTCCACTCCAGACACCACGGGGAACCTCTCCTGTGTGCAGTCGGGTATTAAAAGACGCCAGCTAGTGTACATTTATGTTGAGTTTGTCCGCGTCCTCAATGGGAGCTGCAGGCCAATTTCACCGATGTGCAATCGGACTGCTGAGCAGGGTCGCATCCCGCAAGGGCAGCAACTTGGCAGCTTTCATGTCTCGCCTAATGCCAGCGCGCAGAGACCGGAACTAGATACTTGAGCCTGGACTGGCCCGAAGCTGCACAAGAGCTGACACATCGGCCGACTCAGGATCAATTTCATTAGCTTCGTGGTGCAGCCCTATTTCAGCATCCTGGCTTCAACTGCCAAGAGCGATGCCTCACAGCAGTAGCAGACCACACGACTGGGTCGTGTGAGCTGCCGTTCCACTCGGGGGCAACCACGGGCTGCACCAGCACTGTGACTCACAAGCTAGCACGACAACCACCTTGCTTGCAAAAATGGGAAGAAGACAGCGACGCACATCAGATGTCTTGCGATGTTGTCGTTTTCCCAAAGTCTGAGCACACGACGATCCAGCATATGAAGACACAGTTTTTTTCTAAACGCCGCCATGCTTCAGTTTGGGGGACGAGAGCTAAGGTTGCTTTGCTCGACTTTGTCCAGCAGTCGGGGAGGCAATGGAATCGTTAGCGGCCAACAAGGCCTTCTGGGAGGCCAGGCCCATGGTCCCATAGGGTCCGACAGACGGAACGCCACATGAACTCAGGAGAAGAGTAGAGAGGGGGCCTCCTTTGACGAGCTCTTCCCGCCGTGACGATGTGAGAGGGCTGTAGTTAACTAAGATCAGGGGGCGCTCCCTTCAGATGAATTCTTCTGATGCTTTAGAATACGTGAGGCTGCACGGTCTTGGCGATCTCAAAATGCATGACCGCATAGCATCCAACGTGATAAGCCGCGCACATCACGTTGCAAGCTTCGGCAGCTTGCGTATCTCACTCTGCCCGCTGCACCAGCAGCAAAATCTTTGGATGGGCGCTCCGTCTTTTCCCAGCACAAAGAGGCATTGTTTCACATTGCTCCCAACTGGGATGTTCCACGTGCGGGATGTTTCTGGTCCATCCCCGCGCATGGCTTGCAAAAGGATGCGAGTGCGGATGTGCGAGGGTTGCGAGTGAACCTAGGGGGCAATGCCACGCCCCCACAGCCCCCACCTGCATCATCGCTGTCTGATTCTGGTTCGCAAAGGCACCGCTTCCACAAGTCGTGCATCACAACATGGATGGTGCAACCGACTCAGGTTTGAAATCTGGGTGTACGTGGGTTGAGGTGCTTGTGTGTGTGTGTGTGTTACTGGAACATCTTGGAGCCTTCGATGCAACGTGCATCGCGCGCAAAGCACTGAAGCCCATCGTGCCAGGTGGCCAGCCTGGCCATCAACAATGGTGTTCCCAGGCTTTCCTTCAGCCTTCAGCTTCATGACTACACCGTGGAATGTTAATTCCATGTCCTGCAGCACAAAGGTACCTTGAACATTCGGGCTCGTTTCGGCAGGATGAATGGTTGCAGTCGCAGTCAAGGAACAATTGTCAAAAGGCAGGCGGAAGATTTCAACTAATTCAACTCGCAACATCTAGTCAACGTTTTAGCAATGCAGTTAAGGGCGAGACGGGTCTTGATTTTGGCGATATCTTCCAAGCCCGAAGATCGCAGGTGCCCACTATGCCGCAAGAATATCGACGTGGATCGCCCAGTGCAGGCAAGCCGTGGTGCGAATGAGAGTTCCATCAGAATCCACTGCTGCATCGTTGCAGAGCAGCGGCGTGCAGTCGTACTCTTTCATCCTCGCCACAACGGTGAGCACAACCTGCCTCGCATCCAAAGCTATGCCGCCAGCATGCAGGGTGGTTCGCGGAGAGACGTTCTCGACCTCAGCTTGCAGGCCGACTCAAACACCTGTGTGGCGATGTAGATATGACTCGCAACTCACAGGCTTTCCTACACTGTTCGCAGGAACTTACTGCAGTCGAGCGCTTGCTTGAAGACGCCCCGTCCCCAGCGTAAATCGACTGACTCACGACTCGCAGAGTACGCTGGTTCGGCAAAATCGCGTTTGCTGCAGCTGGCTTCAGTATTGATGGATGTTGACAGCAAGCTCAGATGGCAGCAAGGACAAAGCCAAGTGTGATGCGCATTCCTGCACAAGTACATTTCAGGGAGCAGGAGAGTTTGATAGATAGTTAGCTTCGTTTGCGGAAGAAGTTGTATTATATGACATGGTTTGTTGTAATCACAGTCACGAATCGTAAGAGCAAAATAAAGCATGTATGTATGGATGGATGAATGTAGGTATGTATATACACATATACTGCACTGTAGTAACAGTATCTTATAGCATGCCCATGATATTATATTGTGTTATATTGAGTCAATATCAGAACATATTGTTACATGTTTCATACTATATTAGTTTATGTCATGTCATATTACGGCGTATATCGAATCGGCAATTGCATCATGCATCATGTCATGTCATGTTATATTGCATATAACATATTGCATGTATGACATTAAAGAGTGTGTGTAGATACATATATATATATGCACATTGCATTGTCTGCTTTGTTATCGTTATGTTCTAAATTAGACAGCTTATCTTACACAGTGCATGTTATATATCATTCTCTGTAGCCTCAGATGCTAAGCAGTAGTTTTTATATACTATATATTGCACTTGAATGTAATACTTCATATATATATATATATTTATTTATTTATTTATCTATTTATTTAAAATATACACATATATATATATATGTATACTTATTCTTAGATTTACATATTTAGTTTTAGTTATTTATCTTTTCATTTAATCACTCATATAGTATATCATGTTCTGTGAGATTGTGCCATGTTATATCTTAATCAATCTGTATAAAACATGTTGATACTTGTTCGTTGCGTGTGCTAAGGTTCGATTTGCTGTTCTCGAGCAGCGATCCGTCATTTCGAGTGACATCCTGAGGAACCGTTCACTTTGAGTTGATGCGGAACGCATGCGAAGTTATTCGCGGGTTTACACTGTTGTTGGTGGGGCTTACCCGGATTGTTTCGAGGGGTTGTTTGGCCAATGGGGATGTCCGGTGGGTTGATAGGGATTCTACAACGTACTCGAACGGTTAATTATACGCTCCACGTACGAGATTGCCGATGTTGTGCGATCTTATTGGCTTTTTTCACTAGCGAGACTAGGGAGCCTACGGTGGGCTCTGAAGGTAGGAACATGGATTCAGGCGATTTGCTTGACCCTAAAATGGCATCAGGACCAGGATGTTCCAGGTTGGCATTTACTGTAGAGGCTCAGAAAGGATGACGAGGAGTTTGCGGGATCATGACTTTAACCAACCTTGCCTGCATGTTAAGGCCACGTGGAGAGCCAGGCGGTCGAAAGTGGCTGGTGGCTTAGATGCCGTTTGCTGTACAGTTCTCAAACTATTTTTTCCCTAAGCGATTCTTGTTGCCTGCCCTGACATGCTCAGGCTCAAATTCCCCGTCAACGGCTCAACTGCGAGCCGCGCAGCTGCGAGCTTTGGCCGCGCACCTGTTTTCACTTTGCATCACATGAAAGTGACTTCAGTGAATCATCGAAGCGCACGGGTCTAGATTCCCAGATCAGGCCAACAGGCACGTAGCCAGGGATGAGCATGAGAGAGCCACTTGAAAGCCGCGCCACAGATGCTGGAAGACCGCGTGGCCGAGCTTCGGTCGGCTGTTTACGAGCTGCAGGCTTCCCTGAAAGGGGTCTCCGATCTCCCCCAACACGGCAAACTCAGTACGTTGCTGCACTACAACCTTTTTTGGGGAGTTGGGTCGTGACTGGTATCAAGGCTGAGCGTTGCCCAGAGAAGCTTTCCTTTCCAACTTGCGTGGCCTGTGCCAGTCTCGTCTCAGCTTGCTCTGAGAAGTCTGAGTCTGCTTAGAGTGGGACTGGCTGGGTGCAGAAAGACTTGTGATTTAACGTGTTCCTGATCAGTTTATTTGTTTATCGCACTGCATCACCCACCTTGAAAGTCCCTTGAGGGAGGCAGATAAGAGCCGGAACTGTCTAGTGTCAGCATGGTACAGACACACACCTGATTTCGTCATGTCTGCCTTGAGTTTCACTATGTCTGGAGCGTCACAAGAGTTGGTGACGGCAGCTGAGCACCAAGTCAACGCAGCAACTCGAAACCACGTGAGGTTGCAGATTCGAATTGCAGGCACGGCTTTGCAAGTTACGGCGCCAAGCACAACGTCTTCCATGACAAATCGATTTGACTTGGTGGTCAAGACCCTACTAGAACTGGCATGTTATTCTGGCTCAGCTGTTGCTGAAGGCCTGCTTGGAAATGCCAAGAGGCTGCAGAAAGGCGCACATACATCATGTGCTCGCGAACCGGGCCGCTCCTGCCACAGGAAGTTTCGGAATCGAAACGTCAACTCGAGATATTAGACTTGGCCAAACCCCTAAACATCCCTAAACTTTAAACACCAAACCCTAATGTGCAAACCGAGAGAGAAGCTGGAGGGCGCCTTTGAGTGCCGCTTTCTGTGGCGGCATCTTTTCATGCGGGCCTCGCTCCAGTTTCAAGACTCGGACGCTCAAACGGCGGACCATGGTAAACCAATATTGTCGATTCGACGAAAAAAGATGAAATAGGAACCGAGTGTCCGTAGTGATGATTTTGCGTCTCCGCCGTAGCACTGTGGCTCCAGTCGGTCAGAAGCTAAGTTGCCACAAGTCGCCACACAAGATGGCGTCAGAAGATTTGCCCACAGTGCGGCTTGGCACTGCGCGCCAATCCGAAGGCGTGTTTTGCGGGGAGTGGAAGCCCTGCCTGGCTCATGCGTCCTTTCACTTAGCTAGATGGAGTACCAGTAATGAACATTCTGAATTTGCACCAGGTACCAGCGCTTGTTACTGATATTGCTTCTGATTCTGGTTGACGTTGGGTGCCTTCGACCGTCGTGCTAGCAGCTGTTTTCTTTATGTTCATGAATACAGGAACCTGCCTGAGCATCCCCGGGTTCTGTACTCTTCAGGGCCCTAAACTGAGAAATGACTATGAGTATCGTTCTTGCTCTATGAGACTCCCGATGCCCATGAATTTTTCCAGGCGGAGCTCTGATTTCCGTCGAAGGCTTCCGCGGCCGGAGTGGGGCTGAGGGTTGAGGGGAGAAGACGCGTTAATATAGGAGCCCAAATAATTACCTATACCATTTTGCGGGTTCCTTATTATGGTTTTTGTATAATATACCAAAAACTCTATTCTAACAATTAAGGCCCCTATTGTATCTGCGTCGCAGGGTGAAACATAGCTTGTCAGGCTATTGTATCCTAGGAGGTGGATGAAATCCCTCCCACAACGGATGCTTCGACGCAGTAAACACTTTTTGGTTGCGCATGTGCCTTTAGGTCTCATGCACTGAGCCAAATCCGTGTATACGACACCCTAGAGCCGATCCTTGACGCTCTATTCTGCGGCATCATGCCAACAACCAGCATCATGACTCATTCATTACTATTAAAGGTTTCATCATCACCATGACCGTTCGAATGATAGTCAAACTCGTCACCATTAAGACCCCCCTGACCACACCATCGGCATCATCACGATCCGCATCATGATGCTCCTCGTTCCTCCGCATCTTTATTATTCTCGTAGTCATTGTCACCACTAGCCTGGTTAAAGCCATCATCATGCTCAAGAACGATGTCGCCACTTTACTATTGCTGCAGCTTCTGGCGCTGCCTTAGCTGCAGAGGCTCGCAGCAACGATAAACTTAGAAAGTGCTTAAAGAGCGGGCAAATCTAGGCACACAATTCCTCCGTGATGACAAGCCTTTGTGGCTAGACTCTAGACCCAGAGCAGCTTCATGAACCCACCGCCAGGTGACGCCTGTGACAAAGAGATCGAATCCCAGCACCTTGCAAAAGCATGCCTTCTACGCGTCTATGCCAAAGCGCGCGACAACGTATCAGGCCAGGTTTTGGGACTGCTGGGGGTGATGATGCTGATGAAGAAGAAGAAGAAAAAATTGTGATGATGACGATGCTGATTCTTATAACGGTGCCGATGGTGGTGATGATGATGATGACGATGACGCTGTTGATGATGATGATGATCATCATCATGATGACCATGCAGATGATGATGGTGGAAAAGAAGATGACGAAGACGATTGCGATTCATTATGACCGTTAGTATTCTTCTAATTATCATTATTGTTCTTATTACTGTTAATATTTCCTTTGTTTTTGATCTTATGAGAATGAAGGTGGTGAAGAAGAGGATTGTAATGATGATGCTGTTGCTTTTGATGCCGACGATGATGATGATTACGATGATGCTGGTGGTGATGGTGGTTTCTGATTGTGAGGGTGAGGATGATGATGACGATGATGATGATAATCATGATGGCGGTGATGACGGTGATGATGAGGATCATGATGACGATGATGAAGATAACGACGAACAAGAATTTTATGGTGGTGGTGGCGGCGGTGGCGGTTGCGGCAGTGGTGGTGGTTGTGCTGGTGGTCGCGGTGGTGGTGACGCGACTTATAATGATGATAATGATGAAGGCGATGGCGACGGTTATGGTGATGCTGGTGATGACGATGATTCAGGCACATGAAAGACCAAATGGGAGCTTACGTCGAATCATACTGGTAGCCAAGATCCTTGAGGGTGGGCTCTTGCATCGCTGGGGATATCCTCTGCGTACCAGACCCTGAGCCCAAGGCCTTAAACTGCACCCTTCATAGAGGTCTTCATTTCAAATTATTGAGTTTCGCCAGAGCTCTTCCGAAGTCTTGCCGTTTTCCTAATGCTCCTTGTGTAGACTAGGAGCCTCAGTGGCCAGGTGCTGCGATTCCCTTCTCTTCGACAACCGGTTTTGATTATTCAGCTCATCCCGACCTGGTCCACTCTACGCGAGATCCCAAACTACTCTTTCAAGAATTTGGAGCCGTGAATGGATCTTGCATCCCTCTACCCCCACAGAGGTAAGCCCAAAGCTTTGAAGCCCAACATCCCAAAGAAGGCAACGGATCAAGCCCCACAGTCCCCGACAGCCGGTAAGGCCCTGAAGCAGGAGACTTCTCAATCCGCAAAGCGAGAACCCAAAAGCCTCAGCCTTAAACCCGAAGCCCAACCCTGCGTAAACTGCAAGCCGAGGCACCTTAAGCTAAAGCCCTAAACCGAAGCTCTGGCCCTAAACCCTGAACCGTAAACCCATGTTTTTACATAGTAATGAACTTACATGTTGTACTTATGTATGTGTGCAACAAGTATATATATATATATGTATATATATATATATACATTTATTTATTGTTTTATTCATGTAGTTATTTATTTATTTGTGTTTATATTTATATAGGTAGCTGGACAAACAAACCCCATCCCAAGGCACCCTAAAAGCATTTCAGGTGGTGCTGTGAAGAACAAGGTCCCTGGTCCGACCCCCTCCCAGGGGGGCGCCAGGCCCTTCATGTCCAATACTGTACAGGGTTTATAGGGTCAAGGGTATACCCATAGGCCCCATAGTAGTTCCTTTTGGGGATTGCCGAAGAGGATCCTAGAAAAAATAAGCCACAAAAGGGAACTCCTATGGGGCCTATGGGTAGAGTGTGGAAAATTTGGTGGGATTTAAAGCCTTGTAACTACAGTCCCTTTATCACTGCCTGCCAGACTCCGGGCCCCAGGCCCGAACTAACGCGGCCAGCATCCTGACCTCGTAGCCCCTGTACTCGTACTACCTTAGGGCTCTTGAACCCTAAACCTGAACCCTAAAAACCTACGCCCTAAACCCTAAACCTAAACCCTAAACCCTAAACCCTAAACCCTAAACCTAAACCTAAACCTAAACTTACATAAACCCTAAGAGATCCCCAACCCAAGCCCCCAACGCCCACAGCCTCCTGCACAAAGCCCCGGGCCCTCCCTCCTAGAAGAGGGAGGGCTAGGCCCCATCTTCCTGCCGTCTTGGGGGCCTAGGCCTATGATATGTTTAGTCTTCGCCTGAAAGTTTAAAGCCCCTAAATCCTTAACCGTCGGTTTAGCTCTTCGAAACCATGGGCTTTTTGGGACGTCAGCTCTGGGATTCCACCAAAACCCCGAAGCCCACAGCTGTCAACCCGGGCCGCCCCGACAAGTCGCCTTTCGGCCAGAGGCTTGCTATGGAGGAGTGGGTGGAAACACAGAAGGCAGTGTCTGGGGCGGACAAAAGGACGGTTTTCGGGTTTAGGTAATATGGTGGCCTTAGGAATTACCTATACTATTTTGGGGGTTCCTTACTATAGTTATGGTAGAATATAATTATTAAAGCCCTACACTACTTTAGGGTGCACTGCAGCTTCAGGGGTTTAAGCCTGATTTCCATAGGCGGTCCCACAAATTCAGAAGCTCCGAAAGCTGAGGGCGCCAGTTACCAAAGCCCTTGGGAACGAGAGTGTGTGGCCAAGGATTGACCCCTGAACCCCGAGTAGGGTTGTCACTTCCCCAAGCATTCTAAAGCATACTGATCAGGAAATTTCCTGTTTGAAGACATCAGTATGCTACTTAAGGGCTGACTAGGTAACCTTCAACCTTTTGGGGGGTTACATATAATCCTACTATTCTTCAGAAGGTTGACCTGCTTAGGGCTAGGGTACTCAGCCCCTCAGACTGGTTATCTGGTTGCTATGCTGTTATGGGGCCTCCGGGGGACTCGCCGTGTGCCCGGCCAAGGTTTGGGACTACTTCTTTGGGGAGCCTAAGGGCCCAAACTACTTGTTTCCGGAGCCGACGGGGCAAACCACGCCCGCGCAGGGAGGAGCAAGGCAAGGTGAGCACACTGAAGTTCCTCTGAGGGCATAGGGGCATAGGGTGCAGGGCTCCTTCTTCAGCACGATATGCTCTGTGTGGCGGAGGCTG